ACGATCTATGATAGAATGAATGTAAAACTAATGTTCTCCCATGTAAACTATCACATAATTCACAATAAAACATTTAAGAAAAAAAAAAAAGAAGCAACCATTTCCCACACTAAAGCAGATTTATTGAAACTGAAATGAGAAACATCATAACTATGATTCAATGACTATTTAAACTACTGTATATACAATTAAAAAAAAATTCTAGTAATTGTGTGGTTGACAGAGCACAAGGATAAAGTGCAGCTACTGAGTAAAAACCAAGAGGTGAAATAAATCTTTCCTCAGAACAAATACATTAACAATTCAGAGGCCTACAGACAGAAAGAATAAATGGGTATAGACAAAGACAGGGCCAAAATGACCCAAGTCATTAATGGGGCTGACTTCTTCTGCCACAGAATAAGCTCTGAATTCTTGGTACAACAACAGCTGCCCAGCCATAAGGAATTGTTAATATCCATAAATTAAGAAGGTGAAGATAGATTAAAGAGAAAGAAATAAGATGCAAGTAGAGAACACAGGTAAAAATGGTAAACCATTGCTGATCAAGAAGAGGAAAGGAAGACAACATGTGGCTATCTTCTTCTATTGGGTTTAGAGAGGATTGTGAAGGTATGAAACCTACCATATGGAAAGCACTGGAAGGGGCAGTGATGAGTGAGAGATTCCCAGGGTTTACTCGGGCACCGAGTGCAGCACAGGTGAGCCAGCGTGGAGAGGGACCCATAAACCCCAGCAAGCTCCAGACCTGGAAGCATGTGGTTCATCTGAGTTGGAAGTGAGTCACAGAACTGGAAGCCAGGGGGCTAAATTAACGTTCTCTGGATCAACTCGTGTTTTCCTTCCAAGTCCCTCCACCCTAAACAAAGAATGCCTAGCAGCTGTGGCTCAGCCCCAATGCTCCCCAAGAGATCAGAATGAGGTTTTTGGGAGAAACAAAACAAATAAAAACTACAACAACTGTTGTTAAAGATGGTGCCCTAGAACAAAGCTCTTCACACACTGGCATTAAGGGTTCCCCAACCTAACAACCGGCTCCTTGTCAGCTCAACCTAAAAAGTATGGCTATGGCATATGACAGACCTACCCTACTTACTCACAGTTCCAAATCAGCTTTTTTATTGCCTCTCAGGAAGCCTCCAAAATTAAGATAAACAGCAAAGTAACACCGGATGAGACAGACATTTCAGGGAACAGTAGAAAGTTTTTAAAACATTCTACTTTGTATTCACAAAGATACTCAAGATGATGTAGTCCATGAAACAAACAAAAGAAGTTATTTAGAAAATGACCAACTCAGGGGGGAAAAAAGTGAATAGCTTGAAAATTAAAAACACGACTCGACGGCACTTAACAACAACAACAACCATCAAGTCAGTTCTGACTCACAGCAACTCTATAGGCCAGAGTAGACTTCCACTAAAAAGATGAGGCTGTAAGTCTACAGCAGAAGACAGCCTCATCTTTTTAGTCTCGGAGCACCTGGTGGGTTTGAACTGCTGACCTTAAAGTTAGCAGCCCAACACTTAGCCCACTGTGCCACCAGGGCTCCTTTCATGATATATATTGTTGTTAAGTGCTGTCGAGTTGGTTCTGACTCATAGCGACCCTGTATGGGATTTCCGAGGAGTAGCTGTTTAAGTTTGAACTGCCTCCCTTGCACTTGAAACCGACCTTGTGGACTAGTGCATGATCCCACAGCACCACACCAAACTGAACTTTTATAAATAAACCTACACTGGTAAAACTAATTTAAAAAGAGATTATGGGATATCTCGACAAATAAGTAAGGAAGAGAAAAAAGAGTAGACACTTTGCAGAGTGTGCTGCCATCAAAAATTTAAGAAAGGAGTCCTGGTGTGGTGCTGTGGATTAATGCACCAGACTGCAAAGCCATTTGAACTACAAGGTCAGTGGTTCAAGCTCACCAGTTGCTCTTTGCAAACCCTATACAGGGTCGCTATGGTTGGAACCGACAGCACTTAACAACAATATACTTGTAGCCAGATGCCTATCATAATGCTGTAAAGATAGCCGGGGGTGGGGGTTGGGGTGGGTGCTAAAAGAACCTGGCTCCTGAGCAACTGGAGAGAAAAGACGTTTCCTTTTTACAGGAAGTTCTTTCGGAATCCTTGCAAACTATATACATGTGTTGACTGAAGTTTAAAAAATTAATTTAGTAAGCCAACCTTTCCATGTGAAATACAGAACATAATGTTGTATCTTCATGCAGACTAGGAGAAATGTTTGGGAAAACGACACCAATGAGTTTGCATGCAGTCTTTCTTCATCCTCTCCCTGCACCGCTGGGGGAGCCCTGGCACCTATAAGAGGAAAAGCAGTGGTGGTGGTGGTGGTGGGGGGCTGGAAGGAGCGGCTGTAGCCACCATGGCAGTAAAACAGTGTTTGCTTGATATGGTGTTAACTGGCCCCAGAGGGACCATTTTATCCAAATGAGTTCATCAACCCAGGCAACATACAGTCACCTTTCAAAATTCACAAGTTTTACTAAAATTTTCTTCTGCTTCTTATTTATGTCAACTCTTGGGGCAGGTGGAGGGGGACTATCAGCTTTATTGATGAACTCTGACTTAAATGGCAACTAGCAAGAGGAAAAAAAATGCTATAAAAATTTGGGGGTTGATCTTGGAGCTAAGTTGCATTTTAAAACATTAAGACTTAAAGAATTTATATACAGATTATGTTAAAAAGTAATTCCTGATAAAATAAAGAACAATGATTTATTTCCAAACTTCTCTATGTGACAGACGACTGTCCTACTCAATTGAAATGTAATTTCCCCATAATTGTGAACAGAATGGAAAGAACGGAGGAGATATTGAATATGCAGAGGCTGATCATGACTGGTAACCACTG